GAGGAGGAGGAGGAGGAGGAGATCAGGAGGAGATCATTGTATGTTGTCACAGCATCCTGCAGCTTTGGGGCACATGTGGGGAGATCTTAAAGACATGAATAATAAGTAGATCACAGCCAGCCTATGACTCGGGATGTGGGGGAGGGGAAATTAAGTGCGGCCACACAGTACGATGCCACGTTTCTGCTTCACTCAGCTTTTTATTGCCCAATTGTTCATTTACATTGTTTATTCACTTTACATAACCAACCATTGTCATCACTGCCACACCATTGTAAACCACATCAGCATGTTAATACATAAAGCTTTGCTTCTCAAAAAATTAGACACTTTAGTAACAATATTACAAAGGTTTCTTTAGCGTCAAAAAGAACCGAAATGAAAAAAATAAAACTTTTTTAAACAATTAGCATAATAAAATTAATTTATTCCAAGTAAAAATACAAAATAATATGAATGACATTGACCAGATCTGAAAGTACCTCCGAGGAACAACAGTTATTTATGGTTGAGAAAGCACTCTAGGGAGAATACAAAATAAAAATGAAAAATATGTCAATATGTTTTCATTTTTTTTTTCTTAGCAAAAAATCTTTCTAAAAATAACAATGAAAATCTTGTCTCAGTACAAAGGCTACATTACTATTGAAAAAATACCAGCATGAAGAAAAAGGTACGTATCCGACAGTAGAAAAATGATCTTACGGAACCCACAATGTTTGCAATGAAAATAAATCTGCAATAAGATTTATGCATTTTTTTTTTCTTTTTTCTTTTTTTTTCCTTTTTTTTTTTATATATAAACAGTACAAACAGTATTGCACATAACAACAAATAATCAAGATTAAGTCTGCCTTCGAAATATTGACTAATTCAAGTCTAACACCAAGGAAAGGCAACCAACTGAACTGATACATCCAACATTTTTAGTTATTTTGCAATTCAAAATGCATTTTAAAAAATATTATTCGCAAAAAAAGGACCCTGCTAAACCACTTAGTTGTAAGAGGGTCAGGCAAAGAAAAAAACTAATTGCGGATTCCTCTTACAGCAAATAGGTCAACATGAATTATCATCAACAAAATCGGGGGCTCACGGGTTTACAAACTGGGAAAACAAAAAAAGGAAAGACCACCATCATTTAACAAACAAAAAAAAAAAAAGTTTTCTAAAAAAGACAAATAGAAGAATTCTTTCACAATTCTGGTCAGTCATGCATAATCAACACTTGATTATTAACATACAAATACGTTTTGTTTTTTAATCTACCTGTCCTTGCTTTGAGCACCAACTATAACATGGTTATTATATATAATTTTGTGGGTCTCTGCTATTTGTTTTTTTTTATTTTTTTTGTCAAAACAATTATCTCAAGGCTTTATTTTCACAATTAGGTAGATTTTTGTCTCACTACACTGTCATATAAAGTTACAAAGCTCTAATTTTTTTAGTTTCAAATTATTTTAACATTAAAAAAAAAAAGCAAATAAAGCATGGAAACAAACAAAAATAGCAATATTAAATCTTTGAAAAAAAATTAAATTAATATATATATATTTCTGAATAAACTTACTTAGAAAATATTTTTTTCCTATATTCAAAATTTGAGGTATTGCAAAAGATCATGTCAAAAAAA